AGGAAATGCATTTATTATTTCTCTTAATGCATCAGAGTGGACCTCTTTAGTCCAGTAACTCGCCTTCAGTTTGGGTTGGTTTGTTATTGTAGGGCTCAGATTCATCTCTACGTTCCATAAGGAGATAAAATGAGTAATCTGCTATGTGTTTATGTTGCTGGACTAGTATTCTTAAGAAACAGAGCTTGTGTCATACAATACTCTTATGAAACTCATTATTGTTGTTTTTATTTGCAGAATGAGAATATCAGCAGAGGGAGAGAAGTTCTATTTTACTGTTTTGATGTGCAGAATGTTGTGTTGAATCTGATGGGGCTGCTGTTTGGAAGGATTCACTGTTTTTTAAATCATTATTTGTAATAACTATATAATTAAGCACAATAGGATTGTATTTCTTTGAGAATCATGTTCTGTAATAATTATTATTGCTTGCGTTTGTTGCTGGAATTTTGGATGAACTTTGATGAAAATGTTTATGTTTGTTAGGAGCAAGTTCAGTTTTAGGATTATTTGATGGAATACAGATGTTAACAGGTTTTGTGTTATTGTAAGCATGTTTTCTTTTATGCCTAAACCGGCCGAACCAAACCGCACCAAACCGGATATGAATGGTTTGGTTTGGTTTGGTTTTCATTTTGATTTTAGCTCAAACCGAACCACACCGGACCGTGAAACTTTAATTGGTTCAGCTGTGGTTTGAGGATGAAACCGGACCAAACCGGACCGTGCCCACTCCTAGTAGCACTGGCTTGCAACTCCATAGAGCATTAAAATGGCTGATTTATGTGAGTGAAATGTAACTAACGGTATATTTGACAGAAAAACAAGTGATTTGGGATCATAAAAGCATTTTCTATCCAAAGCAGTGCCAAACGGACTCTAAGTGAGGTGTGGTCGTCTTGATTTTGTTCGTTTTGGTGAAGTCGGACAAAGTACTCCTTTGTATTGTACCCACATGTTAGTAGGCCCATAACCACAATGGGTTTGTAGCAAACCTCAAAAATTGAATTATCTATTCATGCATAGCAGCATGATCCATGCGTACCCAATAAAAATTCATAATAGTCCACTAAGTTTACAGCATTGGATTTGGGCCAGTGACTATGAAACCAATCCCGGCAAACCAAAAGAATATCTCTCACCAAAATAGTCGGGCACATCTGGCTCTCACCATCGCTTAGAATAGAAACCCTTTCACTTTTGGAGACTGTTTGTGCCTTCGTTGCCATTGTGGTTTTTTGTCATGCAGATTCAATGCACCTGGCCAGCCAATGAAATGCGCTTCGGCTCTTCCTCATTGATAAATTTGTCCAAGCATTTGTACGCAGACTTTAGATTTGTTAAGACTAAAACAGCAGCCACTCCTCGCCCATCTTTCTCAGCCACCATGTCCACCGTTTCCACACAGAACGATGTCGTTTCAGGTCAAAGCGAGTCGATCCAGAAGACCCAGCAGCCTTTACAGGTATGTCATGGACCCAATTTGTGCTTAATTTCATGGCGTACTGTAAATGGTCGTGGTTTGAATGGAATTGGGTTTTGGGGCTTTTAGTTATTGGGTAATTTACACATGGCCAAAAGGCTTCATTTTTAATTTTTTTTTTAGTAGTTTGGATGAGATGCCTTAGGTATGTAGAAATTTATAGGTTTTCTTACGATATGCAGTAGGATCTGTCTGGTGAACTTGAATTTTGTTTACAATTTACTCAATGCTTGTAGAATGATTGTCAGGCTGTAGCCACTGTACTGCAATGTCTAACTTATTTTTGTTACATTTTCTTAATTTTTTAATTTTGAGTGTTTTAAAAAGAAATGTAGAGAAAAATAAGTGATGTGAGGCTGCTTAAGAAACCACCTGAAACTCAATTGTAAGGAATTGACAGCAATCCAAGTATGTTTTGTAACTTAATCCTGCTGAAGCAATGATAATAATAATGTAATTACTTGATGCACTTATATCATAATATAAGTTTACCATTGGATAATGGGTTATAACTTATCAGTGATGTATATGCTTAATGTGGCAGAGTCCAAGATTCCATTTTTAATCTCAAGTGAATGAAGTGCCTGTTCTGTCAACTGTAAGGTCAAATGTGTTGAGTAAAAACTAAACAGTGGTGGAAATAATAAAAATAAAGCATTAAGTTAAGATGACAATTAGTGGTCACTAACTAGAGTTATCGTGCAGTCATTCTGGGTTTTACAACTATGTTATAATACAGCTGCTTTGATATTAGAGGGTGGAGTTTTATGCCTCCTAATTTGTTAGTTTGCAACCTGGTGAGTTTTTATCTTCTTTTGCTTATTCTTATAGGCTATCCCTCTTTTTTTCCATCCCTTTTTCCTGCCTTTTGGACTTCAGTTTTCCTCTATAAAGACTTTAGTCGTGCCTCATACAGTATATTCAATTGTTGCTTTTTCTATCTATATATCAGTCCATGGCTGCTTCCAAAAGCTGTTGACATGTCTGTAGTGCCAAGTAATTGGCTGGGGGTCCTAGGTGACAATGTCATGGGAAAAGTGGTATCCAACTGAGGTGAAATATAGGCGGTGATCATTGACTTATACCATGTCTGTTTTGATCCGGCATGTTGCATATTCATATATGATTGAGCTACATTTGTATATACTACATCCTCGAGTTGATCAACAGTTGCAGAGTTTAAGCCTCCCTAATGTTTTGGTCTTTGTTTGTCAGGTGGCAAAGCGCTTAGAAAAATTCAAGACGACAATCTTCACGCAAATGAGTAGTCTCGCCATTAAATATGGAGCCATAAACCTTGGGCAAGGCTTCCCCAACTTTGATGGTCCTGAGTTTGTAAAGGAAGCAGCAATTCAGGCCGTCATAGATGGGAAGAATCAATATGCTCGTGGATATGGGGTTCCAGACTTAAACTCTGCCATTGCTGAGCGATTCAAGAAAGATACTGGACTTGTTGTGGACCCTGAGAAGGAAATTACAGTTACCTCTGGGTGCACCGAGGCAATTGCGGCAACTATGCTGGGCTTGATAAATCCTGGTGATGAGGTTATACTCTTTGCTCCTTTTTATGATTCTTATGAAGCCACTCTATCCATGGCTGGTGCTATAGTAAAAGGCATCACCTTACGCCCTCCAGATTTTTCTGTCCCCATCGATGAGCTCAAGTCCACAATCTCAAAAAATACTCGTGCAATTCTTCTAAATACTCCTCATAACCCTACTGGAAAAATGTTCACTCGAGAGGAACTCAATGAAATTGCATCTCTCTGCATTGAGAATGATGTGTTGGTGTTCACTGATGAAGTTTACGATAAGTTAGCTTTTGAAATGGATCACATTTCACTGGCCTCTCTTCCTGGGATGTACGAGCGGACAGTAACCATGAATTCCTTGGGGAAAACATTCTCCTTGACCGGGTGGAAGATCGGTTGGGCTATAGCTCCTCCACACCTGACATGGGGAGTGCGGCAGGCACACTCTTATCTCACTTTCGCTACCTCCACTCCAATGCAGTGGGCTGCTGCAACAGCTCTCAGAGCCCCAGACTCCTACTATGTGGAGCTGAAAAGAGATTACCAGGCAAAGAAGGCGATTTTGGTGGAGGGATTGAAGGCTGCAGGTTTCAAAGTGTATCCATCAAGTGGCACCTACTTTGTGGTTGTAGATCACACTCCTTTTGGACTGGAAAATGATGTTGCTTTCTGTGAGTATCTGATCAAGGAAGTTGGGGTGGTGGCAATCCCAACCAGTGTGTTTTACTTAAACCCAGAAGATGGAAAGAATCTAGTCAGATTTACCTTCTGCAAAGATGAAGGAACTCTTAGGGCCGCAGTTGACAGAATGAAGGAGAAGTTGAGAAAATAATTCGAAGGCGCCCGGTTAGAATAAGTGAAAACTCAGATTTGTAATCAAGTCTAGACATCTGGTTGATAAGATTATTTAGCTGTGTAGCGTTTTATTGGCATATGTTGGTTTTTCGCTGGAAATTTGGATTTTCTTTTATACAGACTATAGGGTGTGTACAAGATACCATTTGCAACGGAAAAAATGTACCACAACAAAACTACACTAGCACTGTAGCACAATGCCCTAATTAACTACCCTACACTAATGGTTGTAAAATCTTTTTTTTATAAAAATGTTTGTTTGAAATCGCCTTCTTAAATTCGTTAATTATTTTGAAAAAGGAAAATTGTATACAACCCACGGTAGTAACTCAAGTCCAATACGATTCCAAAAAAAAAAAATAAGTCCAATAAGATTTCAAAAATTCCAAATATTATTGTGATTCCGTCTCATCATGATTTTGATACGATAGAAATTTCGTCCAAAAGAACAACTCCAAGCCCAAGTTTTCAAGTCCATAAAAGAATTTAAAAGAATTTAATACTATTTATTAAGTAATTTCTGAAATTAATTAAAATATTTAAATACTAGTTATTCAGTAAAAAAATAATAACTAAAAACTAATTACTAATTAAAGTGATTAAATAAGACTAAGATATTACTTAATTATAAATATTAAACTAATCAAACTAGACATTTTTTTTAAAAGCCCACAAAATAATTTAAAATAATTAATTAGTATATATTGAGTAATTTGTGAAATTAATTACAATATTTAAATACTAATTATTCACTAAATAAATAATAATTGAAATATAATTATTAATTAAATAAGGCTAAGACAAAATTACTATATTTTTTTAAAAATAAAAATAAAATAGGTATATTCGAATAAATAAATAAATATTCGATGTATAGCCGGGCGGCTGTACTATTTAAATATTCGAATATATTAAAGAGTATAGCCGTCAGCTGTACAATTTAAATATTCGATTATATTTAAACCGTATAGCCGCGCGGCTATACTATTTAAATATTCGAATATATTATAGAGTATTGCCGGGCGGCTATACAATTCGAATATATTTAAACAGTATCGCCGCGCGGCTGTACTATTTAAATATTCGAATATATTAAAGAGTATAGCCGAACGGCTGTACTATTTAAATATTCGATTATATTTAATATTATAGCCGCGCGGCCGTACTATTGAAACATTCGAATATATTACAGAGGATAGCCGCGCGGCTATACCGTTCGAATATATTTAAAGCGTATAGCAAATGGCAGCAAATCACAGCCAAATAAAACTTTTAAATCAACCACAGGTAACCCGAAAACAGCATCTGTACTATTTTGCATATGGTTCGTGGACAACGAAGATGCCCTCTTCTTAGAGCTTCCTTCTCCTTAAGACCAGATGAGAAAAACAAAACTACATCTGATAAAATGGCATCAGCAGATCTTGCTGCGCACAAACCCAGAGCTGACAAAATTGCAAGCTTCACCTCCTCATTTCCTGGGAATTAAAACATCGGATAGAAATATAAATAGACAAGGAAGAAACGTAAACAAAAATGAAGTACTCAATCAGAAAGCGAAGC